ATCTAATTTAAAGGGTTTTAAACGTAGATCAGTAGCTAGTTTGAACTACTTTTTACAATGTAAGTATTTTCAACATATTTAGAAATTTAACTGTCAAAATTTCATACTTCAATTGTCACTGTCACTCCGAAATTTCTGTCCTACTAACATCAAAGGTACCGACAAAGCTTTCGCTTCCTGTTGGGTGATGTCTTCTGTGGTTTAACACAAATCTGTCAAATCACAAATCACTGTGTTGAGGAACTGTCATTTTTCAATTAAATTTATTTCCTTCTTGATTTAATCATTTGGTTTATTTCATCCGGTGAGCAAAGTAGTCCCCGTTTTTCGAGCAGGGGAAAAGTATGTTCCCTTTAGAAGTAATCTCATAACATCGACCTTGTGTCATCATCTTAATAATAAAAAATATGATTTTCATCTAATTTAAAGGGTTTTAAACGTAGATCAGTAGCTAGTTTGAACTACCTTTTAAAATGTAAGTATTTTCCACATATTTAGAAATTTAACTGTCAAAATTTCATACCTTTTTATATCATTTTAAAGTAGAAATATACTTTCAGGTTTCACTGATGATGGTCTGATTGGACAAAACGTTTTGGAATAATTGTAGTCCTTTTGGATAAATTTTAATTATTTTTAATAAAATAATATAGCATCATACACCAGAAGTTTTTACTTCTTTGTAAGTTTGTTTTTGTAAAAGGTTTTATTAAAAAGTTTGCCAAGTATACATCCCACTACAGCGGCAACAAAAATGCGAATCGAAAAAATCTGTCACCGGATTTAAATATCATAAAACTCTTTGAGTTTTATGTGTAAAGGGCGGAACCAGAAGTAAAGCTCAGCTTTTCAAAGTTCAGCAGATCAGCTTTGCAAAAATATTCAATGAAGATTTTAATCTTCATTTCCTTTTTCCGCTATCCGATACTTGTAAACGATGTGATGTGATGTTTGTAACATGGAAATAAAAAGTTATAATGGTAATAAAAAAGCAGAGTGGATACAGAAACACAGTAACACAAATGGCAGAATTGGCTCGAAGTGGTATGACGGAAGATGCAGTCAAGGATAGAGATACCATAACAGTAATTGCATTAGATTTGATAAAAACTAGCCATTTCCAGTATTTCTACGGGAGTGGTATATTACAAGAGACAGATTTGGACATATAATTTGAACATACACAATCTAGCCACAAGGCAGACACACATGTATGTATGGCATGAAGGCATAGTCTCACGTGGTCCGCAAGAAATTGATTCTTGCATTTTACACTACGTAAAAACTTATGTTTACACACCCATTTTTCGTTTCCGGTCACTCCTATTTGTATTGTAACAGAGATTGTTTACAAAGATATTTTAATGACGTTTTTTAGCCAGATGATTTGCCAGAATCAAAAAGACCTTTGAAAATTGAAAAAAATTCTGAAAAACAAAGTACTTGCCTGTTACCCAACCGACATGACTAAGATGGTTCGATAACTTCTAGCCAATAGCAAGCTTTTTGTCACGTGCTTCTGTTTAGTCTGTCGGTAGCTTGGGGTTGAATATAGTTTAGTTTTTAATAACTCCCTAGATTTATTCCCTTACATTTCATTTAATAACTTCACTTTACTACTTTCAATTATGTAAAATATTTACCCATACTCTTCCATGTTTTCTTAAAACTGTGAATTTGTCTAGATCCTTTTAATTTTAAAGTTGCTATTTGACCTATTCTTTTTATTGTCCACATAACAGATGTCATGGAGCGCTTAATGTGGCTGAAATGGAACGGGTGGGCCATGTGTACAGAATGAATGAGAAGCGGAGGAACTAATAAATTACAGTGTGGAAACCGCGAGCTGACAGAAGAAGCAGAGGTAGAACACGATAAATAGACGACGTCAAAAGAATAGCTGGGAATTAGGAGGAGGCTCAAGACCGACAGAACTGAAAAAAATTAGGGGAGGCATAAGTTCAATTTTGGACGCAGAAGGCTGAATGATGAAGTGCATCTATCTCGATTAATGTTTATTGGTGCGGCGGGTTTTTTTATATTAAAAGGCTTTATTTTTCGAAGCTATAGTTTCTGATTAATTTTGACTACATGGGCCATAATTAACAGTTTAAGTTTAATAAACTTAATTTAAAGACAATCAGATGTTAAAATGATTTATTTTTAAACATTAAAATGTTGCACGTTATAGTCGAGTCCAATGATATTTCGTCCGTCGGCAAAGTCAAACAGATAATATTTGTATGTTATGAAATTCGAGTAACCGATATCCAGGGACGTATCGCGATATTCGTTTTTTCATCGACACAAATTTTTTGATACAAGTATTAAATCATAACATAACAATGTGTAATGTGTATATTATAGTCAAAGAGCAGAAAATCTGATTTTGGAAAAACAAGCAAAACGTTATATTTCTTTGTTTTTTAAATGGTTAAAAGTGAAACGCAAAAAAATTATCACTCTACCACCCTGTCGGAAAAAATACTAGCTGATACAACGGCATCTACTATAGGGCTTTTTAACGCTTCCTATTTGTTTCAGGCACTTGTTATGGGTCATACAATTTTAAGATATCTATGTCATACGTCTTTTGTATGTACAGTTATTGGTATATACTATATACCAATAACGTATGATGTAGATATATTAAAATTATACGACATATCATAAGTGTCTGAAATATATGAGAACCGTTGAAAATCCCCATTAGCGTTTAACGATGACGTACATAGACGAAACTGTGGAAAAGTATTTTACATTTAAGAAAATATTGTTTTAAACAAAGTTAGCAATTTATAATGAAAAACCGAGTTGTTTTAACTGAAATAATCATCATGTTAGCGTACCTTTTCTAAAATATTTCTCCTGCAGGCGAGCTCTCATCATCGTCACTATCCACCAGATTAATAATAAGTTGTCCACTGTTTGAAAATAATTGTCCTAGTCTTCTGTACTCATTTTCTACTTTCACTACACGGTTTACTGCTTTTTTCCAGTCGGCACTTGTAATCTCTGATAGTTCATGTCGAATTAAATCGACCACTTTCGCGTCAAATTTTGGAAAACTATTCTTCCTCCGAATCCGTTTTTTTATTTGTCCCCAAATAAGTTCGATAGGATTGAATATACAAAAATAAGGTGGTAACCTCAAAACATTATGGCCATGTTGTATTGCAATAGTGTCCAGTATATATTGTTTCTTATAAGTTTTAGTACGAAGTACTTCAAGTAACTGTTTCTTATTATAGTTGTCTTCAAAATACAAATCATTTTCTGTGAGGAAATCTTTTAGTTCCTGTTTTGAAGATGAACTGTTGGGAATTTTTTTGAGAAGCCTTGAGTGGTAACTAGCATTGTCCATAACTATCACACTGCCCGGTGTTATATTGGGAAGTAATGTATTTTTAAACCACTCTTCGAATATAGTAGAATTCATATTCTGATGATAATCTACACTACATTTTTCTATTTTTTTTTCCACAAAGCATTAACCCATTTGGCACCCAACCATTTGAAGATCCACAGTGCACAATAATCATCCGAGAACCTTTATTCGGAGGTACTCCTTTTAACTGGCACCGAAGTGAACCATCAGTCCAACCCTTACTAGCGGTATCATGCGTGTCATACCATGTCTCGTCTAAATAATATATAGTCCGCTGTTGGTCTCGATATTCTTGAATTTTTTTTAAATAATCTAAACGCCAGTGTACTATCCTCTTACTTTCCATAATAGCCACCCGTTTATCAACGATTTTGTATTTGAACCCAAGTTTTTTCAGCCTCCTACGTAAAGTGGTTTTAGGGCAGCTCCTTCCCATCGCAACAAGCTTGGTGTATATAATATCAATTGTTGGTATTACATTTTTTTTGTATTCCTCGTAAACCAAATTCCTTAAACATTTAGCAGTCACGATATTAATTTGTTTAGGTTTTCCAGCATCCGATCTTCTTTTTCTCTTTTTAACACCACTTTTCACGATGTCGCGCATAGTAGAATACGGAATTCCGGTTAGAAAGGCTGCTTTTCTTATAATACTGCCTTTACAACTATTTTCAGGATCATTTTGAAGATTTTTGTAAACGTTCATACAAATGCTCTTAGATTGTTCATTCAAAACAATTCTTTTCTTTGGAAGTCTTAAACACTTTTCTACAGTTACAGTCTCAGTGTCATTGTTTTTTGTATCACTTACACTTAAAAGATTGTTGACTACTATACTTTCTCTACTACTACTTGGGTTCTCTTGCTCCCATGCACGAAAAACTGTAGGCGATTTTTCCCATGGTCTAAACATTTTCTTTATAAACAAATAAACAGTTTCAAAAAAACAAACAACAAAAAATACTAAAATTATTATATCTAATCACAATGAAATTTCAACACAACTTAAAATTAAAGCAATGCACAATGCACATCTATAAAAAGCTAGTTGTGAAGATACAACTAAACTAAAAATTTACAAGTCCTGTCCTTAGATAAGGCACATGCCGGTATTTTTACAACAGGATTGCAACGTCGTAAATCAATCCGTTTAAAACTTGAAAATTGATACTTGGGCATTAGTACAGTTAAAATTGTTAGACGGTTATATTTATACGAAATATTAAGCAATATAATTGAAACTTTTTTCTACTTTTAAGGATAAAAAAGCAAGTTCATTAGCGGAAGGTAATTCAAAATTATACTGCACATTATATTTGAAGCATTATTTGGTCAAAACATCTCATTTTTGGTAGTCAAAAAAAATATTAAATGCATATAATAATTTGTCTGGACTAAAGGTGGTAAACTATGATCTGGAAGTTATATTTTTGTTTGAATTTGCCGACGGACGATAGAAAGTCGGTGCTAACTATAATTCTGTCTTCTGCCGTTTTGGCGTTTCACTCATTCTCAATACTGAGTAATTATCAAGTTTTCGTTTTTCGTGAAATTTTTGTTATAAAATATATCATGAAACTCCAAAAAGCATTAATTATTTCTTTATAAATACCTTATTCTGCATTAATTCTGATATATGAGTAGTTTTATTCCCAGGAGAAGCACACATATCAAGTACTACATCACCAGATTTGGGGTTAAGATTATGAACACATAAAATAGATGGTATATTTTGTAGTAAAATCTCTCCTATTGGTAATATATTTTCGTTTATGGGTACACATCCTGAAATGGTGTCTGTTACTTCTACAGCAATGCCACTGAAACATATTATAGAAACCAATAAAAACATGTACATTACCTCACAAACATTAACCCTCTATAGTCCATTTCCATCATATTGATAGCACATTATGTATGCAAATCCCTAAACTGTTGATACGGGTGACTCAATGAAAAATAGATATTTGTCAACAAGTTTACAGAAGTATATAGGAAAACAATTTTAAATTGAGTATGACCACCAGGTATAAAGGTTGAAGCAGAATAGAATACATTAGTTTTGAGGGTTACTAATCCCTTAATAAAGTTGCCAGTGTCGGAGTGATAAAGATTAACAGGTACTAATGAATTTGCAAGAAATGTAAGATGTTTATTTTATTGGTTATATATCAAATAATTTGTGGCCGTAACAGGGGCCGATTTGTAAAAAAATAAATATTATTTTAATCAAATTCCATTTCAGATTTACTGCTTTCTTTAGAATCTAAGGAATCTTCAACTCCAATGTTAATTATTACCGGTTCCAGCATTGCATCAGTCATATTATCCAAATTCCACATTTTATTTTTTTCCTTGTGAGCAGGACTAACAGCATTTTTCCAATTTTATGGAGTTACTTTTGATAAGGAATGTTCTAATAATTGTTGTAAGTCTTCTAATTTAAAAGTTTTGTTGTTGCGTCCGACTTCACCCTTTAGTTGAGACCATATATTCTCTATCGGATTCAGATCACAGTGGTATGGGGGTAAACGTAAAATTATATATTTTTTATAAGCTACTTTATGTTGCCTTACAATAGGTAATAATTCCTTTTCTGTCGAATTCTCCTTGTACTCAATTGCGTGTTTATCCAACCATTCGATTATCTCTCCTTTTTTCCATGCCGTTGTTGGCAATTTTTCTGCTAGTCTTGAATGGTAACTAGCATCCATGACTATGACAGAATTTTTTGGAATTAAATCCAACATTTAATCAAAATATTCTTCAAAAACGTCAGCAGTCATTTCCTCGTGGTAATCTTTGGTTGATTTTGAGGCAAAACTTAATAATCCACCATTGACAAAACCGTATTCGTTTCCAATATGGGTTATTATGAGTCTGCGTCCTTTTGCAACGGGAATATTCTTTATTCCAGTAGATACACCTTCGATGAATGCCTGACGGGAACTTTTCACATTTGTATCAACCCATAGATATGGTACAGTGTGACCTTCATTTAGCCAAGTCTCGTTCAAATAAAAAATTGTTTTCCTTTCTTCTCGGTACTTTTTAATAGTTCTTAGATAATCTCGTCTCCAACATACAATGCAATCTTTGTAAATTAAAACGGATTTTCTTCTATTCTTTTGCCAACGAAATCCATCTCTCCTCAATCCCCTCAATCTCTCTCAATCATCTCTCAAGTCCCCATAATTTCTTGTTGCTTATAATTGGTAACTCTTCGTTTTCTCTAATTAATGTTTGGATTTTGTCCAATGCTGGAAATTATTTGTTAAAAAAAAATGAGTGGACGCTGCGTCTTATCATGTTTTTATGTATTACATCAATTTCCAAGGGTTTACTCCCTCCACTCTTCCTTGGGAGATGAAACAGTTCCTCATTTTCTTTCTTTTAGGAATCTATAAATTGTTGCTTCTCCAACCCCTGTCATGTTTGAACACATGTTAACGATTTCACGAACGTAACTTAAGGGCGTTGATGTACAAGTACATCGTGTACATTTAATATTATATTTTTCTCTCTTAGACTAAAGACACCTTTAAAACTACACTTAACCGGGATAAAACCGGTTGTCGACGTCATTTTTAAATGCAAATAACAAAATATCGACACCAAAAACGTAGGTAGGTAAGACGTGAACAATGTACATCTACAAACTAAATGGAAGATACAAACAATTTCTAATTTATATTATTGGCATAAGCTGTAATGTGGCATAAAAACTACTTAAACTATCATTAGTGAAGCCTTATCAGTAATTCCAGGTAATCGTTCAAAGAAGGTATTCTTTTTGTGTCAGGCAATAACTTGTATAGAAAACAATAATCACCTTTAAATTACTGTTTACATTAATTTATTTCGTAAAACATTGAATTTTCTCGTTAGTCACCCGTGTATAATTAACAATAATCGTATGGCATATATACCGACGTTTTTTACGCACAAAAAGATTGAGAGTAGTGAATCGATATGAAGAACCGATATATCGTGACGCTACCCGTGGCGCCTTCTAATGTCGCTAGCTCCATGACGCTCGCCTTAACATTTTACTATAGAGAAAAAAGTAATACAACGCCAGTATAGAAGATTTGCTTCAAAAATAATCTTTCCAATAAGCTACTAGTAAACCTTCATAATTTTTTATATGGTACTTATGGAAAAATATTCATAATCAACAAATTGATAAAATGCACCTAAATTTTTAACTAAGTAGTAGTTTCCGGAAAATTTATATATTTGAGTTAATTTAAGAAAAATAATAAATTAAATTTAAACAATTACCTGGGCGTAATATTTTCAGTTGCAAACAACTGGTGTCTCTGCATCTTAACTACCCCATTTCCAATGAATATTTTGAAGTCATTTTCATATATTCTCTGAAGTCCCTTTTTACACTTTTTTGCAACATCGGCGTAAATACTAACGTTTTCATTTACCTGGCAACCTAAAAAATTTCATAAGTAAAAAAGCATGTAATAGAGAACAAGACCCAAAAGAAAAACAGAAAGAAATAATAAGATTTAAATATACTATAAGTCATAAAAAGTTTATGGGTGGTTTTTCTCAGGCCTGTATTTTATACGATATTTATTTGGAGAATAGTGCAGTATAAAGGAACGGACTAAGGCCTAGGCAACCTAGGCACGTGCCTAGGGCCCGTAATTTTTGGGGCCTGAAAATTAGGTTTTTAATTTTTTTAATTAATTATGCCGAATCGCTGTTTGATAAAGTCTACAAAAAGCGTTCCCGTGCTTATGCATCTACACCCGAGAGTGTCGATGTCGATGTATGTAAATACGATTGTAGATTGTTTTTAATTTATAGTTAATACTTTGTGAAATTCCTAAATATATAAAACCAACCATCAGCCACTTCGGCTACGTCAGAATATATAACGCCACAAAAACATTCACCATCCAAAAATGAAAAAAAAAGAAAACAATCCAAAAAGAAGTGGTTCTTATCTTCAAGCTATCAATAAATATATCGCTGAAAATTACAAAATAGATGCGGAAAAAGTTGCACCGTTCATCAAAAAATATTTAAAAGTTGCAGTTGCTAATGGATCGTTGATGTAAACAAATGGAAAATGAGCAGCAGGATCTTCAAGTTGGCGTCTATCCCATCGTGTTCTAGATCTACAAAGCCTAGTTCAGGAGAGAAATAAAAGCTTGAGTTTGAATAAACCGAAAAAAATTGCCACCGCTGCCAAACATTCAGCTACCAGCGAAAAGGCAAAATCTGCAAAGAAAGCGACTAAGGCTAAAGAAGCAGCATCAAACACAGAGAAAAGCTGGCCAAGGCCAAGAAAGTTGAAAAAGTCAATTCCTAAAACTAAGTCATCCCCAAATCCGACTTCCGCAGAGGCTAAAGTAAAAATACCAACCAGAGCGAAGAAATCAAATAAAGTCAGTCCTATGAAAAAACCAAAGACACCTAAACCAAAGACCGCCAAGGCTACCACAAGTTCAGCAAAAGGCTAGAAAAGCTGCTACTTGTGGAATGTGAGTTATGTACATATTTTTGTACTTAGCATGTATTTCACAAGCGATTAATCCATTTCAGGTTAATAATCATTTACTTTAAACTTTATTGTCACTAAAACGGATTATATATTTTTCCACTAAATTCGATACGATGACGACGGCGACTGTAGATCCGTTCTCATAATGTTAGCGGTTCATTAGTTTCTTATCGGCACCGATACGGTCAAGATGTCTAAACGAAAGCAATGTATTATGCAAAAGGCCACATTTTAGTCAAATGATTTAAATTGTGATTCGCCTGGTAAGTTTATTTGAAATACTACCTACATAAATTTTAAAACTGTGTTTAAAATTTGGATAAATATCTATATTCCTACTGTATTTTTAGGATCCAATCCTGCGCTCTCAATTCCTGAGGAATACAGAAAAATTTTCGAATCCGATGATTCAGATCAAGATCCTAATTACATACCTATAGAAAGAAGTGGCAACTATTCACGTAGTAAAACACCAATGAAGAAAAGGCCTAATAAAAAACAATGTCTAGGTAAGTAATTAAATTATCCAAGCCTTTTTGTTTTAAAATGTGACCTTTCAGCAATTTTTATGTATTATCATGGATGATTTTTATTGCAGATCGTGCAATTAATTTTTTTATTTTTAGGTACAGTTTGTCCTGGACCTACAACCGAGGCTGAAAATGACAATATCTTGGAGGGTCTGTCTAACGAATATGACGGTGAAACATCAAACAGAAACGACAACGAAGTTGAAAGTAACTCCGGCGGTTCTGCAGGTAACCATTTTACCAGTAATTTAACAAAAAGGGGTACTATTCGAAAGCGGGGGCTGAAAGGAGATTTGCGAGTGAAACGAAATGAGCGAAAAAAAATGGAAACTTAGGAAAAGAATATACCACAAAAACCAGAAAAATAGTTAAAAATAGAGAAAGGAGGGAGTTCCTCGAATGTTGCAGTAAATGTTCTACTTTAATTGAAGTTAACATGCGCGAAAAAATATTTGATGAATATTGGCAGATAGGAGATTTTAATAGAAGGCTTGCATCCATCGCAGGTCTTTTAAACTGCAAAGAGCCGGTAAGAACACGCAACAGGCCAGCCAAAAAACAGGTTTCAGTGAAATATAACGTTGAAATTAATGGCACGCGCACAAAAAGTTGCAAAGAATGTTTTTTAAAAACGTTTGAAGAAACTAGGCGGTTCATTGCTACAGCAATTAGAAGAAAACAAAAAAATATATCTGGAATTGTTCCACCAGATAACAGAGACGCTTCATCTGATGATCGCAGCAAAATTTTAAGAGATGACGTTCGAGATTTCCTTAATAAAATACCAGTATATGAAAGTCATTACTGCCGGCGAGATTGCTCAAAAAAGTTTTTGCTTCCTCACCTAACTATAACAATGCTTCATGAAGAATACAAAAGCACTTCGATTCTCGAAGCGAGATCAGCTTCTTTTGAAATTTTTCGGCAAGAGTTTCATGGCATGATTCATCACTTTAAACAACTGAGGGAGCCTTGTAACTGGCTACCCACATAAGAGGGTTGGAAATCTTTGGATTCCAAGCCTTACTTCAAAGCACTTGTGAATGGATGTATCTCCATAGGTTTGGTTCTTCAGTGACCGTTGAAGGATAAGGATTCTTAATATGAGCAAATATAGCTCCAGAGAAATAAAATCACTTTTGAGTTTATCGATTTATAATTAAATCTTTTAAGAGTAAAGAGGCTCAACACGGCCGTAACTTACTATACAATATCAAATGTACTCTTTCTTTATAACACGTAAAAGAAAACCGGTATGAGAAAATACCCGATTTCGACGGAGAGAAGAATTAAATACGTGAATTGAGTTTTTTACTCGATGCCTCGATGGCGATGTGTGAACTTGAACTGATAAAAAACCACTTTATGCGTGAACGTGAAGCTTATCCCTATTTTGTTTAGGTGTGAAAAATATTTAAGAGGGTCAGACGCCAGTCAGTCGCGTGTCACGAACAAACTTGATAATCTGATTATTCTAGTTATTCTACATTAAGAAAAGTCTGAAGAATTACATTTTTATTTTATATTTTAAAACAATATGTTCATTTCTAGAACAACAACCTAAAGTCGATACCTGTGAGACTTGTGACAGACTAACCCTTGAAGTAAAGTTGGCTCAAGATAAGCACAAAACGGTGATACAGGAGAAACTGCACTTACATCAATCAGATGTTGACCATGCTTATGACCAAAAACGGAACGACAAAGAAGTTTCGCAAATGATGCATCAAAGAAAACATTAACGTTTGACTTGCAACAATGCCTTGCAACTCCATTATTAAAAAATTCAATTTCTTTTTATAAAAAGACGCTATGGACCTTTAAGTTAACAATTTTTGATTGCAACAAAAAACAAACTTATTGTTATGTGTGGCACGAAGCCATTGCCGGACGTGGAGCAAACAAAATTGGATCATGTTTGTACCACTATTTTACCAATATTCTTGAGCCGACGGTAACATCTGTAATAATGTACTCCGATTCATGCCCTGGCCAAAATAAGAATAGCCATATTGCGGTTATGTGCTGGGTAGCTCTTCAAAATTCTAGTACCCTACAAGAGATAAGTCACAAATTTCTTATTTCCGGCCATACTCATATGGAGTGCGATAGCTCTCATGCTCTCATAGAGAAAAAACAAAAAAAATTCAATGGACCAATTGAACACCCTCATGACTGGGCGCAATTAATGCGTGACACTGGAAAAAAAATAAATTTCTTATTATAGAGTTAGAAAGAATCCACTTTTATAATTTTTCTGTGTTATTAAAATCGTCGTTAATTAACAGAAAAAGGCGTAAATTAACGATAATGGCGTGATTCATTGGGGTCAGGTTAGATGGCTAACTTACCGCAAAGATAAATCTGGAATTCTTTTTTATAAATTAACGCTCGACAATGAAGAGTTTAAAACTGTTTCTTTCTAGAAACAAGGGAAGGTTGGAAAACTTTTGCCACCTCTTAGATATCAGCAATCACGAATGATACCAAAGGAAAAAAAATTATCTCTTTGATTTACTTCCTTATATAGGCCCAACATACAGGGGATTTTATGAGAACCTTAATGCGGGCAATGCATCAGACGTATACCCTGATGCCCAAGATGAAGAACTCGAGATTTTATGATCGAAAGCAATATTTTTTTAACATTTTTTACTATAATATGTATTATTATTATGTATATTATTATTAACACTATGTATTAATTTAGTATTCATTTTATTTGTGTTGTTATTAATTGCATTTCATTTTTCTTTCTTTTGTACTTCGTTTTTTATATTGCAATAAAAAAGTATGTTACATACAACGTATTATTGTGTACCTATGTGTTTTGTTCCAATAAAGACATTTATGAAAAAAGTATAATTTATTGTATAACAATAACAAAAAAGTATAACATTTTGAGGAACTGTTAAACACTTAACACATTGTACACTAATGGAATTAGTGTAAAACTCACTAAGTACAGACAATTTAAAACAATTTATAAAAATAAAGGTTATAGGTAATTAACAACAAAAAAAATGAAAACATTTCAATAATAAAGAAAAATGTACTGCCATAATTTTGAGGCTTTAAAACTGGCATTTTATCAATATATAGATTCTGGAAAAATTGTGAAAAATTCAATTGCGTTTTCTCGAAAATGCGATTTTGGCACATAACACACTTGTCACAAGTGACACAGATATAAAATACCACAAATTGTTATTGTGATATTGTGTAAAATAAATTTAATGGAGGATCATATTTTCCTTCTTTTTAGTACATAGTATTTAAAATGAGTTCATATAAAAATTTTAATGGGTGTGAAAAATAAAACAAAAAGCAGATCGAGATATAGTGGCAAAACAAATGAAAAGAAAGTTGGAATTTTTTTTAACTGGAGAT